AAAGTTGGCACTGCGCATGCGCAAAACCAAATTTTGAAATTGGCGTTTGATTTTCCTTTATTCCAAGGGCCTATGTATCAAATTTCATTCAAATACTTTTATAAGTAAAAAAGTTTGCAATTCGGCTTATAAATGGTCGAGATGCGAAAAGGGCACTGTGAATTTTGAATCGATTCGATTCGACTTTTCGCATTGCGTATTATATGGCTAAATCTATGCCCATATTGAATTTCATGCAATTCAGTTCATAACTAACGGAGATGTAAAAGCGATCGAACATTTCTAAACAAAGTTATCGTTCACACGGACAAATAGATGGACAGACAGACAAAGGAACAGACGGAGAGACCAACCGGCAGGCGACAGATAGCAATGCAAAATTATAAACGATCTCTAGGATCGTTAATAAACGGCAAACGTGTAAAATTATGGAACATGTAAAAAACGGTTTTTTGTTTTTTTTACAATAACTTTTTTTGTAAGCGGTACAGAAAAAATTCCTTCCTTGGTACAAAACTCGACACCATAACGAACCAAATAGCGAAAAAAGTAGAACAATAGCTCTTAAGATAAAAAACTAGTAGCGTCGCAAAGTTAGCGGACGGACGGACGGACGGACGGACAAAGTGGCCACAATAGCGCATTTTTTTTTATTTTTGTGGAAATGCGCTAAAAACGCATTGCTTTGATGAAACAAAGCTATTATGCATTGGCGCATTTCAAGAGTAAAAACGCTAAAATCGTAACCGTCAATCATATTGAATGAAACCTTCTGTTACCTAAGTATATCGCGACAAATTACGTCAGGGCTACGACACATTTACCTATTATATACATATTCTTGTTTAATTATTGTCCTGTACCTAATCATTGATTTTTGAGGTTCCGCAAAACGTAAATATTATCCATTTAATGAATGTGGGTTTTTATTCAATGTTCATAAAATCATAACAATTATAAGTAGTTACAAAATTAAGTAGGATCGTTGAGTGAAAATTACTCAATGGTAGGATATTAACATTAACTAAATTTAGATGAACGTTGTATCAACGGCTATCAAGTTACCTAAGTGTATAATTTTATCAATGCGCTATCACCGCAGTCAAAGCATTCTCTCTCGTGGCTCGTCTCATATTTCCAGTCAGTAGCCAGTTATATTATAGAGGTAATTATAAACATGTTGAAGAGGTTCCTGTAACTACATGTTCGTAGTTTTACTACTCTCCGTACGATACCACTACTTTATAGATAAAAAAAGTTGGCACCTTTTCTTGTATGCCGTTGTTCTTCTATGTGGTTTTTATTCAATGATGATACATAACCTCAAATAAACTTAAAAATAAAAACAATTCCATTGAAAATGTGTTCTACGGAGTCGGAGAGCGATGATTTATATACAGTGTGAGCAACAAAGATTGAAGCGTGCCGCTTCAGCTAAATTGGCAATGTGCCGCTCATAGCATATGCTGATTTGATACAAGATACGAATAGACGCACGTCACTGTGACAGCGCAGAACGTCATTTTCGTATACAACTCCATACAAAGAAGGTAGTTTTGATATTAATAGGAACAAGCGGTGATGACGCACGCTTCAATCATTGTTGCTCACACTGTACAATTACGCTGTTAGACCCCACTGCAAACTTTGAGCATACATTTAGGTACTTTAAATTATGTAGATTTTCAAAAAGCAAAGACAGGTAAACTGCCGTCCTAAGAAAGAAGGCAGTAACTCCACAAATGTTAGTTACGAGATAATGCAGATTTTAGTAAATAGACCTGGGCCACCATGAAAATATTTGTGAATTCTCAAACTGTTGAACTGTTTTGTGGTTCATCTCCTTAATATTGAATAAGTTTATATTTTGATATCATATTTCCATAAATTATAAATAAAATGGCGGTTACTGCTTTCAAGCTAGGTATGTTATTAGAAACGATGGGAATGATGTACACAAAAAATCAGTAAATCCTATTAGTTGATGCGGTTACTGCTTTTTAGTGTAGTATTTTCCCCAACGGAGTGCATTAATAACAACAAAACGCATTTCGCTTTATTAACTTTATTAAAGAATTTTCTTATCAGTAAGTGTTACAAAATAGTCAAAATTAAAAATTCAATCAAAATTTCATTAATGTAAAAACCAGGGTAAAAACAAACAAAAAAAACCCTTTAAATATCATCTAACTTTCAATCTTAAGTCGGCAGCTGTATCATTGAAGGGAAGATTCTGCCAAAATTGTTTGCGATTTTCAGGTATCAATGTTAACAAATTTTGCAAAATCGCTTGCTTTCTTTCTTCTTTAATCCCTCTTGCTTTGGAAATCACTGTTGGTGGTTTGAAGCCACCTTTGGCTACTTTAAATTTCAAAAAATGTAATTCTTTGGTTTCATTTGAACCGAAACTTGTTTTATAAAATATAATTAAAGAGACCTCGTCGAGCAACAACTTCAACCATATCTTTTAACTAGGGCCGATGTGTTGTATGATTTATTTTGTAAATTGACGAGTTATCAGGCCAAAGAAAGAAATCTTCCAGCTTCATTTCTTTGGTATCCACTTTTCCAGAATTAGCTGATTGAACGCAAGATACAAAATCAGAAAAGTCATACACTTTTTTCATCCGCTGCAAAGACTGTTCCACCTGGTGGTGGAAACTGGAGGTATGCCCTAGTTCAAAATATCTAAGGGTTATTGTTTATGCTGAAATTTCATTAGAATTGATAATGTAGACTAAGTAAGAGAACAGTTACCAGTTCTTGTTTTGGCCTGCACAGTTATCAAGCCCAATTATTATATTTTCTACATCACGCATGTGCAACATAAATGCATGAATTGTGCTTATCAAATCTTCCTTTTTACGTCCTGCTATGCACTCATGCCAGAGGCACGCAAAGGGCTTGATTTTCTGTTTTTTTTCCAACTGCGACAAAGGTTTCGTTGAAAACGTTTATTCTTTGTCAAAACACAACTCTTTTAAACATATCAATTCTGTCAGCTTTTTGGAGGAACTGTAATTATGATACACCAATACCACCACAGCTTATATAAAGAAATGAAAAAGAAGAACCAACTGACAAGCTTCAACTTAAACGCGCAAATGACATTTCTGGTGGGGCATCTCGCGATAAGGTCATGCAGTTGCTAGATTAAAAAACAGTATCTCCATTTTGTGTGGGAGATACTACCTTTAAGTCTTGTATATGGTTCTTACTATCTTTTTGCTTAGGAATATTCAAAAACAAGTGGAGATACTGCAATGTCGATCATTTACCACACCAATGCATGAGCACTTACGGCTTTCTAACTTTGCAAGGACCGGTAAAATAGTGTAAGGAACCTATAGCAAGTAGAAAACCAACAATGGTAAAAATTGGAGATACTGCCTTCTTGCTTAGGACGGCAGTAAAGTACACAAAATTACTTCACAATTTACATTTTTTTATTAAATGATTGTAGATACATCATTTGCACGTGCACTACTTTGTAGTGTCACTAGTGTGAGTGGTATGATAGATGGGAATAATGATAATCCTGAAGGAAATGATGAGGAATTAATGCCAAATGATAAGGTATGGATACTTCACAATATTTAACTTACCTTGCTAATAGCAAACCTTACAGAATAATTAAACACACAATTTAGGGGAATCTTCTGGAACTCTAACTGAAAGCAAACATGTTTGGCAATATAATGAAACGAAAGCTCTAATTGACTCTATCGCATCACATTTGGATAACCTTGATCATCCAAGGAAAAGGAAAAATGTATTCAATGATGTGGCAAATGATCTACTAAGCTTAGGCTTTGTTGTAACATCAGACCAAGCACAGCTTAAATGGAAAAGCTTAGTGCGGAGCTATAAAACTGCAAAAGACACTAAAATTAGAAGTGGACGAGGTCCTAGTAGGTTTATGTTTTTCGATTAATTAGATAACATACTGGGAGATAAACCTGCTAACTCATGTAATCATGCCCTTGCATCTACCTCTTTCCAAAACCAAGACAACGTACAACATCCCCAAACCATTAACTCTCAAAGTCCAGACATTCAAATAGTAGATGTGGAAAACGAAAACCCCAATGCACCTGTCCCGGAAAATGATGAAGCAGCAGCACCACCACAAAAAAAACAAGGAAACAAACAATATCTCAATCATTTATTAACATGAAAAAAGAAGAATATAAGAAACGACAAATCCGCCATGATGAGAAAATGGCTCTTGAAAATAAGAAGTTAAAACTACTAGAAAAATATTTAAAGTTGGAAGAAACTGAATAATCGATTACTTATTATTATAAACTATTTTACATTACATTATAGTTATTTATGTATTAAGGGCATAATAGTGATGTTTATATTCTCGAGGACGACGAATTAAAAAGCTCGAGGGCCTATAGCCCGAGAGCTTTTTAGTCGCCCGAGAGTATAAACATCAGTTTATGCCCGTGGTACATACACAATTTTATGTTTTACAAATAGTTTTCTTCGTCAAAATTCGTTTACAAAATAATTCATTATGTTTGATCGAGTATGCGTGGTTCGAATTTGTTAATGTGATTGAAACCATCCAAACGTCAAACGTAATTTTAAATAATTCAATTCATCGTGAATGAGCAAGAAGTTCCAGAAACTATACGAAATAAGGCCAATCTTGTGATTTAGTAGGTATTGACAACTAATAGGTAATTGAAGTTTCTAATTTTCAATGACCTGCAAATATTGTTCGTTTTGTCATTAAGTATACCTAAATGAGTTACTATGGTGATACTTAATGCCCTAGGGCATAAAGTGGTACTTTATGCCCGCGTATCACAGATATAAAATGTGCTATGATAGGTTAGTAAGACATAAAAATATTTACATTTGATCTCTCAATAAAAGAAATACTTGCTCTCTTCTGTTGTTGACTGGTAAATTATCTTGCCTTTGAGGATCATTAGACACATCTTCAGAAATATTTACTTCCGTTATCTCACAATCGTTGCCTTCCTTAAGACAAAGGTTGTGAAGAACACAACATGCCATGATGCATTTAACAATTAGATGCATATCTAAATTCTCAAAATGTGTCAACCTGCGAAATCTTCCCTTCAACAAGCCAAATGCATTTTCTACACAAATTCTAGTGCTGGAATGTTTATAATTAAATCTTTTCTGCTGTACAGTTAAGTTGCCATTATCTTTAAACGGTGGGACAATCCAATTAAGACATGGATATGCCGAGTCTCCCAACAAAAACATATTATAAAATATGTCTTCATTTTCTGCAGCCTTTGCATATAATGTTGATTTACGCAACAATCTGGCATCATGCAAAGACCCAGGTTCTCCACAATATACATCTATAAACATTTTTCTGTTATTAACTACACCTTGAAGCAAAATACTATGGTAACCTTTTCGGTTAACATACGAATCTTGATTGAGTTTGGGTTTATTTATTCGAATGTGACAGCCGTCAATTGCCCCAATAACATTTTTGATTCCCTACTTTTTCTCAAATTCTTCACCAATATGTTTCGCTTCGTTCTTACAAGGCCATACTATATATTCATGCTTAATGGATGTCAGAAAAGTAATTACACGCACCAAACACCTATGTGCTGAACTTAAAGACACATTGAAACGATCCGCAACCTGTCGAAATGTTTCTGTATTGGCAAGGTACCATAACGATAACAATATTGCTTTCTCATTCGACTGGTGGGTTTATACAGTCATTAACACTAACTCATTAACATTAGCTCATTAACATTAAGAGCGTCATTATAATTAAAGACAAAAGGATGGGATTTATACAGTCACTAATACCAATAGGAATCCAAAGCAAGCGCTTGCGCATTTGTTTGTTTGGTCGTGTGACATAACCGCTGTTTGCTTTGCTGTTCATAACAAACCGTTTTTAACCGTCTCGTGCATTTTATACTCGTTGCTTCCTTTGTGAATTTTTTTCCTATTTCCTAACGTCCCTAGTTTCTATCGTAGTTTAATCCTTCCTAGTTTGTAACATAATATTTTTTAATCCTCCCCAGATCTTAACGTAGTTTTTAGTTCCTAAGTACTAAGTAGTTTTTAACCTCTCCTAGTTCCATAGTTGCTAAATTGTGTACATCAGGGCCGGATTTATAACGGTGGGGCCCGTGGGCGGATATACTGTGGGGCCCCCTTTTTCCATTTTATTTACTATTTCTTTAAATGCAATTAGTAAAGTAAATTATGATTATGCTCATTTTTTGTAAATAAATAGGCACATCTTATTTCTTAAACGAATTTTTATTTAAAACTATATTAGACCAGGCACCTTTCGAGATTTTTGCAATGCAAATGATGCAAGCACATCATCGAATTTTAAACCTCTTAATATGTCATATTCCATACTCATTATTGCTAGGCTATTTAAACGTTCTTGAGTCATTGAAGTACGAAGTCTGTTTTTTATAATTTTAAGATCTGAAAATGACCTTTCTCCTGTACAGTTGGTGACCATCAGTACAAGATATATTCGCAAAGCTATCTCTACATTTGGAAAAGCTACCTTCAAGTCATTTTCTATTAATATTTTATACATCAAGTGTTCGTTGCTAAGTTCGGAGTCAGGTTTGCACTTAACACTGGTGTCGTCTTTAAAGTTTTTAAAAAATTCTGCAAATTGCACTAATTCAATACCTAAATTCCCTTCCAGATCGTCACTGTAAGTATTCACAAGATTTGTTGCATTATTTTCTAGGTCCTCTCGGCTTAGATCTTCTATGTGGCGTAGAAAAGCAAATCGAGAACAAATTGTTTCATACGCAGTGAGCCTTTGAGTTAAACCAGATGTAAATTGATCTATAACGGGGATGTAGTTTTCAATTTTGAATTTCTCGGAAGGCGAAAGTTCAACTTCAGGTGTTAGTCCGTAATCTAATGGAATTAGGCGCACGTTGCGTTTTCGTTGTCTGTGATGGCCATAATCTGCTGTACCGGATTTCTCCGCACCAAGAACTTCATATGTAGAAAATTTGTCTCGCATCATAGAAACATACTGTTTTAAAGACTTTAAGGCAGCTACGGCAGAGTTAAGATCGAGCTTAGATTGCTGAAGTAGTTGGCTAGTAGCATTGGTTCGGTCTAATATTTCACACCAAAATACTGCATATATTCCCGTTTCTAACATACACATTCGATTGAATAATCCATTTGCATCACAGCGGCTCTTAGGCGTCAGTTCTGCATCATCCGTAATTTGTGTTAAAGCGTTTTTAATCTGATCGTAACCTTTAACTAAAGCTTCGCATGCATCAGATCTGCACGCCCATCGAGTGGTAGTTACACGTTTAGGTATAATTATTCGAGAATGACGCGATTCGGTTTTCTCACCAAAACCATCCGATACTGATTTCAAAGAATCGACAAGAATGTTGTATCTGTGAGTTGAACCAGTAAAGAAAACATACAGCTCTTCTAAAAAATCAAAAAATCCTACAGCAGCAGGACAACATTCAGCGGCGGCCTTTGCAACCAAATTCAAAGAATGGGCTGCACAAGGGACCCAAGTAGCTAATTTGTTTTCTTGCATAACTTTTGCCTGGAGACCGTTGTATTTTCCACTCATAGATGACGCATTGTCATATGACTGTCCTCGGCAGTTTCGTATATCAAGACCATGAGTATTTAAAAATTGCATTAAACCATCAAACATGTCTTGTGCTTTATGACCTTGGTTTGGCATAAAATACAAAAACCTTTCGACGGGTGTGCATCCTTCTATATAACGAAATGTTACGGTCAGTTGGTCGACGTGGCCTTCGTCCGGTGTAGAGTCCAGTGAAATAGAGTAATATTTTGATTTTTTAATTCGGAAAATTATTTCATCAAGAACACTTTTTCCCATGAGTTGGACTACTTCCTCACAAATAGTTGACGAAAGATAATTGGTATGACCACTCCCACGATTTGCATGGGTTTTAAGATGTTGTTGAAGAAAGTCATCATATTGTGCTATTAGCTCTACCAATCCTAGATAATTTCCGTTATTGCGCGAACCAATCAATTCGTTATCACCACGAAGCGCTAGTCCACGTTCACAGATAAACTTGATAACACTAACAAGTCTCTTCAACAAATTTTGCCAATAGTTTTTAATGTTATTTGCTTCCCTTGCAAGTTCAGCATCAATACGACCCATCTCTTTAGAACGCTGCACTAGTGCTATAGTAGCATTTAGGTGTGGTTTAGATATTTCGTGCGCCACTAGCCTACTACTAGCATGTTTCCAATCGCAATATCCATCGCGGCTAAACTGAGTATCTGCCGAAGACAACAATTTACATGCAAAGCAGTATACTCGCCCATTGGATGGCGAAAAACACAACCAAGAACGTTCAATCATTTCACCGTTATGGCTTCTTCGTTTAAACATGCTCAGTTGACAACGTCTTGCATTCACATTCGCACCCGACCCCACGATTTGTTTAAATGATTTTTCTTTGAATATTTCATCATTACAATTTTGGAGAGCAGAAGTTCCTACCTTCGACCAGTAATCGATCAAATGTGATACGTTTGTTGGCCATAAACCAATGTCATTTACATATTCATTACATATAATTTCATTTCTCACACTGTCGTCATCGTCATCTACGCTCACATTTAGAACAGAAGGTGGTTGCAATTGTTCTATTTCTACATTTCCCTTACCCTTTTCAATTAATTCAATCTCTTCATCTGGCTTCATTTGCGATGTAATGAGTTCACTATTCTCATGTTCTTGGATATGCTGATGCTGCTGAGATGTACTAGGATGTGATAAACGTAAGAAATTTGTAATCCGAGGTATCTTGGCAATCAAATCTGCTTTGCTTTTTTCTTTTATTTCGGCTAGCTTACGTTTTTCCGCGCCGCTTTTGTATGTCCGTTTTCCTTTGTGGCGATCGCCTTGTTCCATTTTGCCCAACAAAACTCAAAAGCGTGTAAAATCCTAAAAACAAAAATTATCTAATACATATTTTAGGTAAGATCATTGAATTACCGTTTTTTATTGAATGGTAAGATGATAAATGATAGGATATTTGCCGATTTGGAACGTGTACGTGACTACGTGTGTAACTGTTTAGTGTTTACATCAAGCAAATTCACGACTACACTAGTACACCTACACAATTTTAATTTATATCGAATTCTAATATCTATCAAGTAAAGTTAAAGTGGCACTGACCACTGCAGAGTGCAGACTTGAGACTTTGATACTGACACGACACACGACTAGACTAAACAAATATCATATTACACCAACACCAAGCCAAGTAAGTAAGTAGCGGAAGGGGAAGGCCGAAGGTGGAGGCGCCGAGCGGCAGGAGCGGCTTCGGGCTTTCTTTATTATTGTAGTTTTGTTTGTCATCTTATTTTCCGATCCCGATGTGTCTACATTTACAAAATTAACAATTTATTTTATAAACCTAAGCATACATTGCAAATTTCCTATTACTTCTCTCATTTAGTTCATTAGTTGAGTATGGACTGATGGAGAGTTATAAAAAGCATTAACTACTTGGTTTGCTGTAATAAAATAATTGTAGGTACACGTACATGGTTGATGGTAAAGCGTATGTGGGGGCCCTCAGTATGTGGGGGCCCGTGGGCAGCCGCCCACTTCGCCCCCCTTTAAATCCGGCCCTGGTGTACATACGTTTTTATTCGAAATTTGAGCCAGAGGAAAGTCCCAACGTAAGTAATCTTACCACCCAAGAAACACCCAAAAACATTTAATATCCACAGATGCTTGACGCTGAGGATGAGCGGCTCATCGACGTCGTGAAATTGTTTCGGCACATTTACGACAAGAGCCACCACGACTTTAAAAATAAGCAGGCAAAAAAGAATGCCTGGGAGACCATTGGGCAGATGGTGGAACGAAATGGTAATTGTTTTATTCATAGCGTTGTAAATATGTGCTTACATTATAATTGTATAATAGCGGAGGAATGCCAGCAACGTTTCGCGATGCTGCGTAATAGATTTGTTACTGAAAAGAGGCGGCTGGCAGCATTAAACGCTTCCGGTGCTGGAGGAGGTGTGGAAGTCTCCGACTTATACAAAAAAATGCTGTTTCTATTGGGATTCATCAAGAGCAGACAGTAAGAACGTTGATCTGTTGTATTTAATGTTGTAATATATTTTATTAGTACGACCTCAAATGTCCAACGGTCCTCGTGTGCTGCAAGTGCAGAAGGGCACCCACCAATTGAAATAGAGGGACACCCCTCTCATGACGGTGGCGAAGGGGAGGATGCCGATGTAGGGCATAGCAACGTGTGGGATGTGATGTCCCATATCACAGAAACACAACAGTCGCAAGGTAATTCGGGTGAAGTATAGCTCTTAATATTAATATCATTACTTTAGAAGAGCTGGCTGAAAGTAGGGAAGCGCCATCCACCAGCAGGGAAGCGCCTTCCACCAGCAGGGAAGCGCCTTCCACCAGCAGGCAAGCGCCTTCCACTAGCATACCCCAGCAGACAGCCTTTCTACGGGCTGCAGAGGCAAGGGGGAAGAAAAGAAAAGTGGCCACTTCGTTAGAAGATGTCCTCCAAACGTCGTTGGGAACGTTGGAGGATTACCTAAAAAAGAAAGCCGAAGACAAAGAAAATCTAGAAGAAGTCGACAGTGATATAAGTTTCGGTCGCATGATTGGCCTGCATTTAAGAGACATGCCGCCAGAGGAAAAAAAAAGAAAAAAACAAGATATTTTAAAAATTATGTTTAATATGTAATTTCTTTAATAAAAAAATTCATATAATATAAAACAATTTGGTTAAGTAGGCAACGATCCACGTGCAATTGCATCGTACTGCCACGGAACACTTCCTTCCGGGCTGGTGAAATATGCTGCCAGCATATCACGATTATCTCTTACAATTCTTGTTGATTTATTGGAACCTAATCGTCCCACAGATTGGAGCTGTTCTCCTCCTGACCTCCACGTTCCCTCGTTTACAACTCCGTCTGCGCGAATGTGGTCTCCATATCCGGTGGGGCAGTATCGTCGTTGATCTAGCGGTAAATCTTCCTCTCCCTTTTGTAAAAAGTTGTGCAGCGCCACACACGCCTTTGTAATCGCTATACATGTTTCAACATTTGCAACGATTGGTTTCCGAAACACCCTCCAACGTGCAGCCAAAATCCCAAAGGTGTTTTCAATCGTTCGCCTTGCTCGAGACAGCCGGTAATTAAATATTTCCTTGGCTTGACCTAGTCTTTCCCCTGGATATGGCCTCATAATTTTTTCATGTAGCGGAAACGCTTGATCCGCCACGAAAAAATAGGGTAGTCTTCGGTCGGTATTGGGCAAAGCCGTCTCGTGGGGAAGATCCAAAATTTCCTTTTGCCGGTGCAAAATGGCACTTCCAAATGGCGAGTCCGAAAACACGAGACTGTCATGTTGTGACCCATATGCACCGATGTCGACAAGACTGAATTTATAATATGCATCGCACACTGCCATCAACACAATACTGAAAGTATTCATATGCAAACACCAATGTATCAGTTTCTTTGTTACGTACCTACTACTCTTCTTATAATTAAAATAGTCGCTACCACTGTGCTTCGGGGCTTGTATGTGAACGTGCTTACCATCCAAAGCACCGAGGCAATTTGGCATGTTCCACCTGTTGTAGAACCCCTTTGAAATTTTAATAAACTCGTCATGAGTAGGTGGAGACAAATACAGTGACGAAAGACTATCCCAAATGACAGAGCAAGTTTCTTTGATGATACAGTGTGCAGTTGCCTTGCCAATATAAAAATCTGTCGCCACTTTCTGCATCGAACAGCCTTTTGCCAAGTAACTACAAAATATCATTGAAAGGTTCTGCATTTATATTTATCATTATTACTCACTGCAAAGTTATTGTTAACCGTTCTGCAGGTGAAATAGGGCATTTTGTCACGTCTTTTTGAAGTGCCGGTCCTAAAATCCCCAATAAATGGTCAAACACTGCAGGAGACATCCTCGTGAATTTCACGTATTGCTCGTCATCCTGAAGGGTCTTCATCAACTGCACTCTCCGATGAAAATGCCCATAGCGATGCCGTTGCCGGTTGATAGGCCTCACCTTGTAGCGTCGGTGTCGCCTGTGCTTCAAATGCACAAGTGCAGCGCAACATACCAATAGGTAGAAGGAGAAAACCATGTCTTCTTCATCCATATTACTAAAACAATGAACGCTTAACCAAGTACAACACCGGCAGCACAAAAACATACCAAGTATAATGAAACGAAGAGTAATTACCTAGAACTATTATATACAGGTACACCTAAATTTACACAAGTTTATAAAAACACAAAACACCGGGTGCACAAAAAAGGTCCAAGTACTATAAAACGAAAAGTAAATTAACTAGAACTATTATATACAGGTACACCTAAATTTAAACAAGTTTACAAAATCACAAAACACCGGTCACACAAAAACGTACAAAGGCAAATAAATGAAAGGTAGTAAAGCACAGATTGAAAATCAAACAATAAAATGGAGGTTATGTATTTTTATTATTTACATTCTGTGACGCATTTAAGATCACACGCCTGCGTATTTCGCTTTTTCAGTATCATTAACACTAAGGGCCGGTTGTACAAGTGTGAAGTTCAGGGATGGTTTAACTAAACTACGCCCAAGTTTTGAGCGTAGTTTTCGTTTAACCTCGTTGTACAAACTGCGTTCAAACTTCGTTTACCAAAACCACAATTTTCTGTTGTTGGCAACGTGCAAACATGCGCATAAAGAATTAATTGGATATTTGTTGTGAATAAACTTAACCTTCAATCAATACTAGTTTATTTATAACGATGTGCTCTAACGAAAAAAAAGTGCGTGCAGCCAATTTTACCGCGAAAGAAGAGGCAATATTAACCAGTTTAGTAAAACAATATGAACATGTCTTAGAGTGCAAAAAAACAGATGCGGTTACGAACCAACAAAAGACCGAAGCCTGGTCAAATGTTGCTCGGGAGTTCAATGTAGTAAACGACAGCCACCGTAGTGAAGCTGTGTTAAAAAAGAAGTTCGAAAATCTAAAGAAAAGGGTGAAAAAGAAACTGTCTGAAAATAAAACGTATTCAATGGGAACTGGGGGTGGTCCTTACAAAGACACCCCATTAAATGACACCGAAGAGGGCATTAAAGATATACTTGGCCCAAGAGCAGAGGGATTTCAATCACAATTTGATGGGGATGCTAGTAAGTAAAAAATGTGTACATTATAAACAATTTACATACATTTTACTACTTCCAGTTGAAATTGAAATACCAGAAACAGACGACCTGCAAGTTAGTAATGGTAAATAAGGACTTCCAAGTGTGTGTGTGGTTCAATATTGTTTCGTTACAGAGATGATAGTAGAGTTTGCTAACGATCACGACTACAGTTCGACCGTAAAACCATCTGCAACAGATGATATCGAAAATAATGGTAGTATACGGTACTGGTCATAAAGTATTAAATCTAAGTTCCTTCTGAATTTGTAGGTGATAAAAACTGGAAAAAGTACACACCTAATATGCTTAAAAGAAAAAAATCAGCTGCGCTTTGTGTAAACACCACTGGTAAAATCACTTTCAGAAATGTACTATAAATACTAATTATTTTAAAATTTTAGATACATCCCAGGGTGTTATTAACAAGAAGATTTCGCAGTGGGCAGAGGCTAAAACAAAACTGGAAGAGAGTAGAATGGAAGGTGTTTTGGAAGAACAAAAAGTAAAATTAAAACATACGGAAGAGGAACATAAGTTAAATTTAGAAATAAAAAAGACAAAATCTGAGTTCGAACTAGAATGTATGAAAGAAGAACACAAATTAAAAATGGAAATTTTGAAGTTACAAAAAGATATGTTATTAAAAAATGTTAAACAATAAGTTTGTTCGTAATATACACTGTACACTATGCTAAGCGATTAAAGTATTCGTGAATAAGGTGATGACGTACAGCATTATTTAGTCCATTGTTGTAATATGGAACATTTTCCACTTCGAAATTTATTTCAGCAGCTGCAATAGCTTCTTGTTCTTCCTCATTTATGTCTGGCAGTGCATCATTAAAGTTCCTAGCTATATTATGTAATACTGCAGTTGCAATTACTATAGCCTCGACCTTTTCTGCGCGTTGTCGAATCCCAAATGACAATATGGGAAATCGGCGTTTCATCACACCAAAGCACCGTTCTATTGGGTTACGTGTGCGTATTTGGGATTCATTGAATAAATTTTCAGTACGAGTGATCGGATTTCTTAGAGGAGTAATTAAATACGGCTTAATAGCATATCCTGCATCTCCAACTAATAAGTACCCTCTAAAGTCTCCATTCTCAAATTGATTTCTTATTTGAGAATGTAAAAATATTGTGCTATCATGAGATGACCCAGGCCATCTGCATACAATATTTTGAATCCTCAGGCTTGCATCACAAACAGCTTGCACATTATAAGAAAAAAAATTTTTCCGATTTCGAAAAATCTCAGCATTGTTACCGGGGGATATAATCTTCACATGGGTACAGTCAATAGCACCAATGCATTTGGGGAAACGACTAATCATGTAAAAGCCTCTACTTCTTTCTCTCATTTCTTCCTCTGTGGTAGGCATTTTGATAAAAATGCGGTGTTGACTGGCAATGGCTCGACAGACTTTTGTAGTAAGTCTGCTTGCAGTAGATTTATCGATGCCAATAAAGTCGCCTGCAACTGACAAAAAGCAGCCAGTTGCTAAATACCTTAGTGCCAATAATACCATACACTCGGCACTTACTGCAAAGTTTCTGTAACGAAATTATACGATGTGGTTGGGTGGTAGCTACACTATAGGGTCGTTTTTATACCTGTTTGTGGGATGTGATATTTCTTCTTGTATTAAATCAATTACAAAACGAACTGAATCTTTGGATAACCTAAATCTATTTAAAAATTCCTTATCATTCCACTTTGTAAAGTGGTTATCTCGGTGCCTATATATCTTTGCTGCTCTTCTGCGTCCAATTATATTAATTACTTCTAGGAAATCTTCATCATCTGTTAGTGCATGCAACTCCATTACAATTTGGAGGGTAACAGCATTGATTATGTTAATCAATGGTAACAGGTATTACATAAAATTATAACCTAACAAAACTAACAAATCGGTGACTATGCGCAAAGAACCAAAACTAAGCTTAAACCAACAAAATCGGCTGCTTAAATAAAACAAAACTTAAGTTGCGTTTAGTTGTTGAGTGAAGTATGTACAACACTCTAAAAAATTGAACTGTGTTTAAACTCAGCTTAATTCTTAAACTCTGCTTAAGCTATACTTGTACAACCGGCCCTAAGAAGTTAAAAGCTTTAGCTTAAGTGAACTAATGTCTTAATTAATGCCGTATAAACGGTTGCATTAATTATTCAACTTTCAACTTGTTAATGTTAGTGAGCTAATGTTAATGAGTTAGTGTTAATGACTGTATAAACCCACCATTGTCACGGCCACCAATGCTTGCAGCTTTATATGCACTTTGTGCAAAGTATCCTATAGAAAAGTGAAGTTAGAAGGTATTTATTAGATGATGGTACAAACATTTACCTATAATAAAATCCACCACTCTCCGGCACATTCTAAAATGTTCTTGAAACACTGCATCACTGTTAGGGTTGCCAGACGTACCCCTTTATGGGGTACAATACCCCATTTTTAAACGCGTTTGTCAAATGTGCCACTTTTCAAAAATTCCAAAAGGGGTACGCAAAATACCCCATTTACTTGCGCCAAATAAAAAATGCAGTATGAATGTATGATTCGTCAAAACCAGTTAACCAGTTGAGTTGTGCTTATGTATGGAATGTGGTGGGAGCGTCGCGGGGAGGTATTGCGTTCCGCATTCCGCCGCCGCTACACCCGTTAGTCGCCAACAACAGCACGTGAATCGGTGAGTCGCGGAGAGCGTAAACAATAAAATTAAATTATTTTGTGCTTGTGCATTGTCTTCGTGCCTTCGTGGTGAAAGAAGGAATTGCAGTTTACCTAGTAGAAGGGCTCATACCTACTCATACGTTATTTGTAAGTATAGTTATAATTAAATACCATGAACATGTGATTTTGGATTAAGTACATTTTAATTAATAGTAACATTTTTTACAGAATGTCAATGAAATGTCATCATCCGAGTATGATTATGATACGGAAAGTGAGAAAAGGGAGGAGTGCAAGCAAAAATCCAAAAAACGACGAAATTATTTTAATAATGACTGGCAGCAAACTTACAGTTGGCTTCTTAAACGCAAAGAAGAAGGCACTGCAAAATGTATTGCTTGTAATTCTGAGTTTTCCATTGCCAATGGAGGAGTTTATGATGTAAAGAAACATATGAAAACCGGAAAACATATAAAACAAGTGGAAAATTCAGCAAGAACCCCAAATATATTATCATTTTTCAATTCTACATCTACAGCGGCATCTACAAAGAATAATTACAGGACAGCAGCAGCAGAAGCTTGTTTTGCGTATCATACTGTACAACATGCACATAGTTATAATTCTGCTAACTGTAGCAATTCACTTTTTTCAGTAATTTTTCCTGATTCCAAAATAGCCCAGACATTTTCTTGTGGAAGAACAAAATTGACTAAAGTTGTTACCAATGTTTTGGCAAAGGAATCTCGTAAACTTATCATTCAAGATCTCTCGGGAAATCATCCATTCAGTTTGGCCACAGATGCATCGAATAAAGGTAATATAAAAATGTTCCCTCTTGTTGTGAGATATTTCAAAAAAGATGTTGGTGTTCAAACCAAACTTTTGAATTTTTTTGATTCTTCTTCTGAAACATCTAAAATTATAGCAAACTGCCTTATTGAAAAATTAAAGGAGGCTAATTTAAATCCCCAAAATGTAATAAGTTATTGTGCAGATAATGCCAGTGTAAATTTTGGGAAAAATCAAAGCGTCTTTGTTGAATTGCAAAAATTTAATTCTGAATTAATTGATGTGGGTTGTCTTTGCCACGTGCTGAATAATTCCATAAAAAATGCTTCAAATTGTTTGAAATTTGATTTGGAATGCATTATTATGAAAACATATAATACATTTTGCTCTCATTCTAAAAGGAAACAAGAACTATTGGAATTTTATGATTTTTGTGATGTGGAATACAGTGAATTATTGAGGCATGTCCCTACTAGGTGGCTTTCTCTAGTACCAGCTATAGATAGGCTTTATAAAAACTTTGAGCCAATAAAAAGTTATTTTCTATCAATGTCTTCTTGTCCAGCATTACTTCATGATTTTTTCACAAATGATCTAGCTGAAGCATACCTAGGTTTAGTTTCAAATATTGGCACATTAATTCAAAATGTAATTTTAAAATTAGAGGGCGAAGGACCTATTATAATAGAGATATATGATCTATTGTCAAATTTGCGCAATTCACTAAAATCAAAGTTGGAGCAAAAATATTATGGAATGATAGCACATCAAGCAATGCAAAAATGTGATGACTTCAATGAGGTCAACTTGTTTAAGAAGAGAGCTGAAGCATTTATTTCAAAAATTGTAGATTACGTAGAGCAAAGATTTGATTTTACCCAGAATCGCTTTGAAATCCTAAAATATTTAAATTAGAAACTATGCCAACCTTTGAGAAAATTTTAGAATTACTACAAAAATTTCCTATAAAAAATATTAACACTGATATTCTTTTTGAAGAGTACGTCATATTAAAACAAAAATTTCCATCACTTGAAAATCTTTCCTTTGAACAAAAGTGGGTAACATTTTTAAATACCTGTCAAGTACCTAATTTTGAAAAAATTGTTAATTTTGTTTTTGCTCTGGCTCATTCAAATGCAATGAGTGAACGAATGTTCAGTTTGATGTTTCAAGCTTGGCGAAAAGATAGAAACCGGTTATCTTTGAAAACCATTGAAGCCGAAATCATGGTGAAACATAATTATGGGAAAACTTGCAAAGATTTCTATAACTATGTCTTAGAAAATGAAAAATTACTAAAAACCATCACATCCAATGAAAAATACGTAGAATAATATTTTAATATCTAGCTAAGTAGTTCATGTTTTAATATAAGTATATACCTATAATTATTTTTCGCTTTTATCCAATGTATTATACACCTTTTTTAAATAAAATTTGTCTTCTTGTCTTGTAAATGTAAATACGAGTAGTTTTTGTAAGGTATCATATTATGTCACAAAGTCTTCTTTCTTAATTGGTATCCCCAGAAGTTGAATAATAGTATATTCTATAACGAGTATGGAATAGAGTGTATTCCGCGCGAGTGGAAAGTTCGTCACACGAGCCGAAGGCGAGTGTGACGGTTCCACGAGCGTTGAATACCTATTCCTTACAAGTAATAGACATAATTTTTTCTACTACTACGACGAATTTTTGCAAAATATGTAAAACAAGCAGGGTTAACTATAGACAATTCACACATTAGTATGGACGTCTATGTACGGTGGGTTGGTATAACAGATCCCTGTGGCATATTTGATTTGATTTGTCTAAATGGCTGTATAAACAAATTCCTCGACAATTTCTCTTCCCTCAATATTATCCCAGAAAAGGAAAACTAACTTTTCTGTGATATTATTTACAAATGTGCACATTAATTATTGAATGTGCCCTGTCCTGCGCAGTGTATCGGCGTGGATCATTTAGATTTAGATAAACATAACCATAAGCGATAAACGTATTCGAGATTGCGACCGGAATGTAATTCATGATGTGTATAAATTCAAATACAAAATGCTACAAAGAGGACGTTATGGATGCAAATTAGAAATAAACATCATAGCACTACTCGAAAAATTTGTATGTAAGGTATCTACGAGTGTAGGTAACATTTTAGTGAGCATTATATTTTAGGTTAGTTTTAAAACTTCCTGGAGGAAATGTGTTCTGGATGACCAACAACGTTAACTGTTTTGATATGGATGTTCTTTTTGTATAGTGCAGTGAGGTACATTAATTCATTGTAGAATATGCAACTTGATGTTTGGTTGTAGGTATACCAACGTACGGGTTCCTCGTAATTGTAAACTTTCGTTGTACATTAGTTTTCGTATTGGGTATTCTAATTACAGTTCCACCTAAGTCCACCGATTTTTATGTTCCACAATTCGTGCTTACGACAAGCACCACTAATGCCAACTATAAGAGCAACCTGCAAATGTAAAATAAATATGATGTAACGAGTAACGATTTGAACGTGTAATGTTATAGTAGATATGAACTGTCGGGGGTGCTTTTTGAATAAACATTTTTACTTTGCTCGTTGATAGAATTTTTGACTTTTTAGGGAAATAGCCGCTGGATTGCATTTTTAACAAGGCCTGCAACTTAGCATAGCTGCTTATATCTACATTATTGTTCAAAAGTATCGTAGAGCACAGCATGGAATACGTTTTCCACAATGTGGATGCTTTAATTTACTGTGATAGTTTGCTAAAGTAAGCACTACGTTCTCTGAAAATGAGTTGGTTTTTTTCTTGTCCTCCACTCCAAAAATTTGCTGTATGTATGTTCGTACACTTTTAGTTTGTCGGGAAGTAAATTTTTTTGCGTGTTCTGCTTCCACGGTGATTTCCGGGGGAGTATTTGAAAGTTCCATTAAATCCTCACTGGCCACTGCTATTCATTTTCGCGCTACCGGTCCTTAAAATTTAATATCTGGCGCAAGCGTAATTAAAATTTTGACAGTTTAAGAATTGTGGTTTAGGATGTCCTGTTTTAGATGTCGCCACATGTGCTCATTCCATGTATTTATATATCTATGTCATTCCATCACAAGAGCTAGAATGAAATTATTCCACTTCACTAGCAGAGAATAGGCGAGATTCTGTTGTTAAAAAAGAAGCAAGTATGACGTGATTCTAAGGTAGTAGTAGAAAAATGTATTTCTTTCAATGCTCAAACATTTGAGTAAATAATTGACCAGTGTGTTTAAAATCTTGAAATGCCGCATTTAATGGCCTATATTCTACGCATTTTTGTGGTCTGAGAAAGACGTAAATTAGTCTAAAAACATGTTTAATGCTACCAAAATTTCAAAAATTTTCCGGGGGAGAACCCCCGGACCCCCCGCCTACTGGGGGGTATGGAATACCCCCCGGTTGCGACAACGTCCCATCTATGCTCACTCCTAACGTACCCCTTTTTGGAAATTTATATCTGGCAACCCTAATCACTGTATTGTGGTACTGTTTCTTCAACAAAATTTTCAATGCGAGTAATCTTGGTTGGGGGTTCCTTTATAAATTGGTCATCTTCATCTGAGGAATCTGATGCATCAGTTTCAGATAAGGTACCCGTCAACAGATCCTGAAATACATCATTGTTCATACAAGTAGGAAGTATATTTTTCGGTACTTACCATCACCAACATATCCATTGCAACAAATGTTATTAAAATCCTAACCTAAAAGTGCGTAAAACTTTTGAACTGTTCTAAAAATTTGCATGTGTTTGAGGGGGCAGGGGAATGCAAAATGTGCGGTTCAAGAGTGTGGCGCTTCTGTGCAAAGGAACACACAAAAAGTTAATCGAGCAGTTACGGAGCACTCCGGAAGCGCGCTATGCAGGTCATTGGAAAGCGCCTATATAGAACTGTTAAGTAGTAGAAGAGAAATAAAATCAAATATATATTTAGGAGATTACTCAGTCTGCTTGTAGGACAAACCCCACATAATACACGTCAAACGAATTCAAGAGTTTTTGTAGGAAGAAGGGTATTCAACTTCGAACCACCGTTACGTACACACCTGAACAAAATGGTAAGGCGGAAAGGTTGAACAGAACACTGCTGGAAAAAGCGAGAGCCATGATCCTCGAATCCAACTTAAAAAAGGAGATGTGGGGAGAATCAATCTTGTGTGCAGCATATGTAACAAACCGAAGTCCCACAGCCAGTCTGGAGATGACGCCAGCAGAATATTTTTATGGATTGAAACCAGATGTGAGGAATATGCGTGTTTTTGGAAGCACAGCGTATTGCCATATACCCAAGTCTAAAGTTGATGGTAAATTTAGTCCAAAAAGTACTACGTATGTAATGGTTGGGTACTCGCACAATGCATATCGTTTATGGGATCCGGAACGACGGAAGATAGTGACAGCTAGAGATGTCATCTTTGATGAAAATAATTTGTATGCGAGAAATGTATTGCAGAAAGATAGCGATGTGATATTAGATGTACCAGAAAAGGATTTGCGGGAAGAAAATGTTGAACCGCAGGAGCAAAAGGAACAAGGTACTACTCACGTCAAGGAAGATGAAACAACTGTCAACACCGATTCTACTAGGAAGAGCACTAGAGCCAGGCAGCCACCAAGACACTTGGAGGATTATTGTTAATTATAGGGCGACAATTATAAATAAGGATGACACAGGATTTACTTAAGTAAGTATATTGTAAGTGACGGCTTGCTTACATGTCATGACATTTGTATGTGAAGGTCATTAGTCAACTAGTGCTAACTAATGTATCGTGAATTGTGGCTACAGCCACGTCTAATACTAATTCCGTAACATCTCCCTTTGGAAGTTACAAGTCTAATTTATTAGGTACCTTAATTTGTCTGCCTGAGCGAGTAGTTACATTAAGGTTCGAAGTCGAACCATTGTCATTAGCAGGTTCATTATTAACATTATCAAAATTACTATAAATACGGTAATTATTACAATCATTGCAATTATTATCTATATTATAATCGGTATTAAGATCTACGTGTGTATTATTCGATTTACCATATTCTGGATTACAATTGGATTTGTAAAATTTCGTTATGTGAACCCTATTTCGTCTATAATGCATCCCATCCCTAGATTGAATGATGTAGCTTTTTGGCTCAGGACCAACCTGCGTTATTTTTCCTTGTATCCATTTCTTATCTGATGGAATCTTCTTAAACAATACATCGTCTTCAGTCATTAATTCTGGTAGTTTGGTTGCTCCTCTATTGTAAATGTCTTTCATCCTCTTGTTTCTATCTTCGACCTAATTTTCATAACGATTTACATCTATTGGTTTCGGTAGAAGCAAATCTGCATGAACTGGCAGGGAACATCTAAGACGACGAGACATCAGGAGTTGAGCAGGACTGTTCTTGCTATCGTTTGGTGTATTCCTATACTGTAATAATGTTAGATAGGGATCTCCATTCGACTCGATAGTTTTCATTAGCATTCTCTTGATAGTTCCGATTGCTCGTTCGACTTGACCGTTGGACTGTGAGTGATACGGGCTTGTCGTGATGTGTTGAATGTCCCACTCTTTGATAAAATTGGCAAATTCTACGGCGTTAAAAGGAGGTCCGTTGTCTGAAATTAGTGTGACAGGTATTCCTTGTCGACTAAATATGGATTTCAGCTCATTGATGACTATTTTTGCGTTTGTGCCATTCCTAAGTACCTACTGATAATTCAATAAATTTAGAGAAATAATCTATAGGGGAGACCGGGGCAGGTTGTAACAAAAAATTTACTTTTTACTCTAATCTAAACAATTTTACTTGGAAAATTATAATATATTTTTTTATATCTTTTCTTACATCTAACCTACAAAATAACACAGTAACGATACTAAAAAACGTAAAAGTATAAG